GTGGTTGTGGTGGTTGTGGTGGTTGTGGTGGTTGTGGTGGTTGTGGTGGCGGCGGCGGCGGCGGTGGTGGTGGTGATTGCACCTTAGGCCCTCGGTGTTGCACCTTAGGCCCTCGGCCTAAACTATAAGATGTTACAGTATATCACCTCACAGCAGCCTGCACCAGCTTTCAAATAACTCATCGCCAGGATACACTCATGATCCAGTTCGATAATCTCAACGAGGCAGTGCAACGCTGGCAACGCAGGGCGTTGGGCGACAAGTCCAGTTTCTGCACCGAGAGGGGTGACAGACGAGAGAATTGCAAGACAGGTCCCAAAGCTTCCCGTTTTGCTATCGATTTCTGGAGTGGGTTTTCTTTGCGGTTTGATTCGATTTGTCGTCCACCCGCCAGGTCACGGCAATCACTCCTGATGCCGGATCCATGCAAGGTGGTGCCCAGGCGAGTTTCTGGCGATGGCAGCGTCCTTCGAAGCACTCACATCGCCGCTTTGAAGCGGGCGATGGCACCGTCTGCGAGGGGAGGGGGGGACCTCCGAGCGGCTTGGAGCCCGGTTTCGGCTTTAGACCTTCAGTTGTCTGGGATCGTCCGGACCGGTTTGCTGAGTTCATGATGGGCAGGGGCGTGTCTGTGAAAAGAAAGAAGGAGTGGAATGAAATAGCCTCATATGCCATGATATCATATGATATCTAGTCCATTGATACCTGATATCCAATGATATGTCCTGGTTTTGCGCCTCCCCAGCATCTCGCCTGCATCCCCCAGCCCGGCCCAGCCCCAGCTGGACTGTCCCGCCCGTGGCGGCACGCAGGTGACGATCACTGGACGTGGCTTCAAACTCCCAGGCGCCTTCCTCCGCAACCTCCGTGCTCCGCGAGCTGGACGTGAAAAAGCAACCGATGGCCATGTTTTGAGACCTTTTGTGCGTTGAACTCCCAGAAAACTGCGAGGCTGCGAGACATGGGTGGGAACTCCACAACTCAACTGGATGTGTTTGTGTTGTCAAAGACTTCGGATGCAAACTCTTGGTGCTTTGCCAAGCCAACAGCCTCTGATTCAGAGGTTGATCCAAAAACCATCACAGCTTGATCGATTCGATGCGCCACTTGTGCGGCTGAAACGCCAAACCGATTGACCCCGGCAGGCTTGAGCAATTCCGTGGTTCTTTACCATCATGGTGGAAGCCTCATCGGCCAGATGGCAGGCGCGGCGCGGCGCGGGTCGGGGGTTGATGTTTCAAGGGATCCGAGCGAGAGAGAGAGAGAGAGAGAACTCTCTTGGACTTGTTTGGGGGGAACATTGACTTGTTATTTTTTGCCCAAAAGAGGTCACACCTGCCAGGTCACCGGTTCGCAGATTCTTGCCAGCTCACTTGCAACGTACGGAAGACCGACGCGTGCAACGTACGGCGTGGTGGATGTTTGGACCCGAGGCGTGTGCAACGTGAGCAGCGGCTCTCTGACCAGTACCTCAAGCTGCAAGAAAGGGTGGATGCCAGGGTGGATGCCAGGGGGGCGCGGTGCATGTTGAGGTGAAGGTCTCTTTCAAACCGAAAGAGGCATTTCAATGGGCCAATGCAATGGCAAGGGGGCCAAAGAAAGAAGCAGAATGCAGCGGACAGAGTCAGAAAGTCGGACAGATCATTGACATTCACTTCCCCGTCCACTGATCCTCTTCCACTGACCCCATTTGCAGACCTTTTTTGGTCGCGCTGTGCGTCGCTCCGTCCGTGGTGTTTCTTCCCGCCGCTCCGTGTGATCCGCTCCCCCGGGATCCGGTCACCTGAAGGGACGGCTGCCGTGGCGGGAGCACGGGGGGACAGCGGTGCAAGGCATTGTGTGCCAAATGCCTTCCTTTGACCTGGCTCACTGGAGCAGCACACAGTTCGAGGCGGGACAGAACAGACCTCCGGGAAGAGTTTTTGGGGCTCCGCTGCGGGGCGGCGCCAGAAACAGAGACCCTTGCAGGGTCTTGTGAATGTGTTCCTCTTATCAGTGGGACAGGGTTGGACCATATTATGACTTGGACCACTTAAAGGGGAAATCCGCAAAGGTTCGTCAGCTTTCTGTTTACTACCTCGGCACGCCCTGCCCAGGATTTCAATATGTCAAGCCGATGTTGAAATGCGTGACTTAAACTGTACCATGCGGTGGTCAACGTAGCAACAGATTCATGTGATTGCGATTCATTGGGGGGGCGGTGCATTCGACAGTATGATAAACTATTAGAGGGTAGCAATGTTCAGGATTCATGGAAGCCATCTTCAGGGCACCCACACCCACACCTGCTCAAAGCACTGAGAGGGGGGTTTCCCTCTTCGGAAGAAAAAACCGCCCGACTTCGTTGGATCCATTCCCCCGATTTCGGCCCTCGACCTTGCAAAAAGTCCTCGGGTCAATGCGTTTGCAGCCGGGCAGGAGCGAATTGAAGTTGTTGCGCAGAGCTGAGTGGCAGGGTGCGTGTCTATATGCATGTATATGTGTGACGTGATGATGATCATTAAAAAATATCAATAACTGAAGAGGTCTTACAATCCAAATGGGGGGAATATGGATCAGCAGTCTACCTTATGTGACGCGCGGCGCGGCGCGCGCACTTGTTTTGGGCACCTAACAAGAGAACATCAAACGAGTTCAATCGAGTTCACGACCCCCCGCCCGAGCTGAGGACATGGTTGTAGGATGTTGTGTGTTTCTTCCTACCAAAACAAACCCTCGCTTCGCCTCAGCTGTGTTTCTTCCAGCACCACCGCGCAGCTGGCTGAGGTGAACGGCCAGACGCTGGACTCGTCGGGGAACGATTTGCTCTTCACCTACTCCAGGCCGTTGACACCCATCGTGCTGGAGGTCCTTCCAGAAGTGCCTTGGATCAGCCAAGAGGTGCAGTTACTAGGAAGTTGGAGTGTGATTAAGATGGATTAAGGATGGATGTTGTGAGGCTTGCATGGCTTGAGATGCTTTGGATGGCTGGATTAGGAAGATAGTTCAAATGGAAGGGAGGGTGGTCGAATCAAGCATGAGGGTTGCAGGATTTCGTGCATGTGTACCTCATGCGAAACATTTAGCAGCTCATGCTTTCACTGGGTATACCTACACAGAACCCAAAAACCACTTCAACCAGCCTGCACCAAGTCCTTGTCATTTGCCCTGACCAACAACCTCACCATCGTTGGCATGAACTTCGGCTTGCTGAAGCGCGAGGCGAGGCATTCCTCGCACCGAGTGACACAGCCGTGGCGGGTCGACAGTTGGCTCTTTGAAACTCTGTGAGTCGTCATGTTAGGGAACGTGACGGGTCGTTCATGAGGTGTTATATCTCTCCTGAGGCGTTTTGTGACTCCGTCGACTGGCCTCCAGTACCTGTTTCAGGTAACTCTTACTCACTGATCAGGTGTGACATGGTGGCCAACCCCATCCCCAACTCCGCTGCAGTTTGTGCTGCCAGGTGCAGGTGATGTTCGGCAATCGTACCTGCTGCTTGCCATGGATGCGTCCGTTTGGAGCATTTGGGGCATGGGATCAGAGATGCACTTGAAGTCTTACTTCCAACATCACACGCATCACACGTCCCATGATCCAACACCGTTGTTGAATGTTCGGGACCCGGTCGGGATCTGAATGTTCGATTCAGCCTCGATCTTCATACCAGCACTTCCAATCAAAATGGGCTTCCTTCTTCCTTTCTTTTATGACCAAAAGGGGTAGTCATCAACAGGGCTTATCTCTTCAACAGGGCTTATCTCTTCAAAAGACGAAACGGTGCAAGCCCTGTGTGTTTGTGTGTCTCTGTGTATGGCTGGGTGGGTGGCGGGGTGGGTGGCTGGATGGCTGAGTGGGCTCATGTGGGCTCATGTGGGCTCATGTGGGTTTCTCTTATTCCATGTGTACGCACAACATGTTGGAACTCGGGTCGAAGCTCCGCTCTCACAACTCGCACAACTCGGCAAGCCTAGCTAAGTCTTTTGGTGTTGAACGTCTCTCTTTCGAAGCGATGGTGAGCACGAGGCCGTGAAATCGAACGGACGGCGTCGTCCTCACGGTCAGTTGGGTGTTTCCCCATGTCCACTTCGGGCCCCAATGAGCTCGACACCTGTCCATCACCCCAATGGGATCCCGTCAGCTCGTGATCGCTCGCGCCTCTGATCGCTCTCCGCTCGTCAGCTCGCGCCCTTCGCGCCGCGCTCTCCTTCGCCCTTCTTCGAGGCAACGTGTGGGACGTGAATCAGACGCACATCAACTGTCAGCTGAAGCCCCTTGGTCTCATGAACCGGGCGAAAAGAGAAGATCACAGCATGATTCAGTATGATCGAACGTCCGGAATCATGGACCATTGGATTAGATGAATTCGTTCTGTTTTGGTTTGAACATTCGGGATGGACTTGCTGCGGTCTTGCAGCTGGTTGATGCAAGTGTTTGTAGTCCGAAAACCACAGCTTGGTTAGGGGTGGATGGAAGCTTGTCTCAGAGTTGGCTGGATTATCTCACGGTGGGTATGCATCCCGTTTGAGGCGGGATTCTGACACTGACATAAGTGCAATTTCATGACATGGTGAATCCGACATGGTGAATCCGACACGATGAATCCATGAATTCGCGCCACGCGGACGAGCCGATGTCAAAACCCAGTTCGCGCCACGCGGACCGTCTTGCAGTCGATCGCACCTCTTCAGGCGATCAGCCATGGCACTGCCACCGCTGTGTACGGCCAACCGGGACCCGCAGGGCTAGGGGCACCGGAGGGCGCTCTGAAGGGGCGCTGACGAAGTGGTGGTGGCAGTAGGACGGTCTTCTTTCACAATCCAGTTCAGGAGGTGTAGACTTGAGGTCTGAGTTCTAGATGTGCTGTTTATGTTTTCAGACATACCCAGCTGTGCGACAAGATTTGATTGCAGCATGAGCTCTGGAAGCATTTGCCAATATCTAGCGAACAATGGCCAGTTTCACTGTGCGTGCAAGCGTTCGTTCAACAGCATGGCTCCATGTCAAAAACATCACTGCTCAGGGCCCTAGGTGACCTTCAAAGCATCAAGAAAAAGCATGATTTTGTGGACGCCGTTCAACACCTTCGGTCTGTCCGGTGTGCATTGCTTGAGGGTTTCGGTTCCAGTTTGTGTCCAAGGACTACCAAAATTCATTGGAGCCACTGACTCTCCGAACCCAACGCCACCTCTTTTGAAGCGAATTCGGCGTCATTTTTTGTGCATCCGACTGAAGCGAAACGAACCGGAGGACATCTACAACGAAGACTGTCACTCGGCTTGTGGCTTGGGGACTGGCCATCGAATTCAGATTGAGAGACTGTAAACCCCCAAGCTGGATGCAATGGATTTTGAGTTCACATCTTCGATAAGCTAGAGAAGCGCAAGGCGCGAGGTCATTTGTGTGTTTGACTCATTGACATAGTCCGATAATCCTTGTTCAATGCCTGACCAAACATGCGCGAAATCCGAATGACTTAGCAGGCAAATACTGGCTTAGATCCCACTCAAGCTTCGCTCCTTGGTTCGTTTGGGCACGTCCAACAAAGAACATGACCACCCTTCGAAGGGCCCTCCGCGGTGTCCGAAAATGGGCCGAACGGCCGAAGAAGAACGGCGGTGGGTCGGAGGTGGGTGGTCGAATCTGCCAGGTGTCGTGAAGCCTCACAATTTCTTCCAGAAGCCCACCTTGTTGGCCCGGATGCCGAAGAGGGCGGGCGAACCTAGGCGAGGGCGAACCTAGGCGAGGGCGAACCTAGGCGAGGGCGTTTAGGTGCAGGTGCAGAGCCGGACTGCCACGCGGAGGTGCAAACATATGGAAGTTGGTCTCCCCCATCCCGACCGATCTGGAGGCTCTGGAGGCTCTGGGTCTAGCATTTACAGGTGACCATGATCAAAACGGAATTTCCCCCACCTTACGATCGATCCAAGACCCCCCAAAACTGCACGAAGGTCACGGAGCACGAAACGTCTTCTTGACTCCAAATGGACGACGGTCTTCGAGCGGCTCGGACGACGATCCGTTCAAGCCGGAGCTCGCGGTGCTCGTGGTGCCGAGGTGACCAGCCGCGGCTACGCGGTGGCTCGCAACAGCTCCTACCTTGATACGTCTGGCGCTTGGAGGAAGGAGCAAAGCAAGAATGAAAGAGAGCAGAATACCGGAAACACATACAAACCATTGAAGTACCTGACTGGATGTTCCAACTGTGTCAGATTTCTAAAGACAGCCCAGTTCGGCAGACGTTGGGCAGGACTGGAAGACGAAAAGGTAAAACTGTAAAACTCTCCGTGTCCTAGTAGTCTTTCTGGTGTCCTAGTAGTCCTAGTGTTCTGGTGTTTTCTAAGGTGTCCTAATAGTCTTTACCGATCGACCCCGATCGACCCGGCCCCCAGGCGCTTCGAGATCCACAGCGTGGATCCGCCCGTGGGCAGCGAGGAGGGTGGCTCCCGGGTGACGGTGCGGGGCGTGGGCTTTGGCAACAAGCAGCTGACGCCACAGGTGGGGCGTTCCCCCCGTGGAGGGAGGGAGGATGGAAGATGGAAGGAACTGGAAGGAACTGGAGAGACTCCCAGTGGGATGGGTGGGAGTGGGATGTCCTAAAGTGGGGTGAGTGCTGAGGATGGAGGTAGATCAGTGGAGGATGCGTGAGGGATGGCTGAGAAGTACTTGCTGGTCCATGAGCTTGCCTTGCCAACGTGGCTGCTGGCCAAGACGAAACTCACAAAGCTACGGCATATGGTTCAACAAAGCTCTGGCAGATTTTTAACATGCTACAAAAGTCAACGCTTCTGTTCAATTCTGCTGCATTAAGTAACAGGCAAGCCATTGGGAATTGACCACCATGAGGATCCTCACCAACTCAAAACTCCTCCGAATCTCCAAAGAACTCTTTTCCCATCCACCCTCTTCGACCTTCTTCGACCTTACCCCCATCTCGCAAAGGATCTTCCCTCCAAGAAAAATCCTCTTCTTCCATTACAGTTAAAAAAACTATCCCAGCTCCCCGTGCTCCCCATCCCCCCCGCCACCCCGCAAACCGCGCAAACCGCGCTCCGCCCTGGGCGCCTGGGCAGTTGACGATCGCCGCCCTGGGCACTCTGGGCGACGTGGAGAGCTGGAGCGACACCGAGGCCACGGAGCTGGGGGAGGGAAACCGGACAAGGGGGGACCTGACGGAAGGTGACGGAAAGGCGATGGCTCGAACATCGCCTTTTTGGAAGTGCTTGGCTGGGTCATCCAGCATTGCAGGGAGTTGTTGAGACAGTGCAAGGAGTTGTTGAGACATGTGGCATGCTGGATTAGGTGGTCTTCGTGACGCGGAAACTGACCCTGAACGTGGAGAAAGTGGCGCCTTGGCGCAAAGAACCTGGTGCAGCGCCGTGCGCGCTAGTTGCGTGATGACAAACGAGAAAGAGTCCTCCATTTGATTGGAGTGCGGACAACTTTTATCGCTACAACAATGTGGACAGAGGCAGAGAGTTTTCCTTTTGAAAACTGGTTTTGCCTCAACATGTGGGGACGGTTACTCTTTCGAAAGACCGAAGTTGGCTCCCTCCCGCCCGACAAGGGACAAATCTGATTTCTGCCGAGGATTTGATGGTGAACCTGATCAGCGCTAAGCACAAGTGTGGCACTGGCCCTGATCCCCATCCCGCAAGAGGCTGAGAAAATGGTTTGACGCGTTTGTACAAGCATCCAGTTCGGCCCAGATATAGGCACGTCTCCTTGTTCAGAGCAACCTCCTCTCTTTTGATCTATCTGAGAAGATGGCTTTTTCGGACATGATGACCAGTCATGGAAGTTTCCACTGATCACCCAGTCGGGACTGAGGGAACCACTACGACCACCACCATGGGGCAAAACTTCACGATCCGGCGTTTGAATGTCTTGCCCTCGGAGGAGCGAGCGCCCTATGTGGTGCCGTGGGCCAGGGGACACGGGTATAGGATGGTATAGGCTAATTCTGTGGAGCTTGAAGTCATTTCAGAACTTCAATGCGGATTCCGAAGCTCTACCAAGAAGGGAACCCCAAAACCGCTGCTTCCAGGCCAGTCACAGACATCGGTTGTTTATTTGCTTGTTGAGGATGCTCCAGGTGCGGACTTTGATTTCCATACGGGCAACTGCTGAGAATGGGCGGGATGCACTCAAAGATTCCCACGAGCCCTGATCTTTGCCATGTGGGTATGGTACAAAGCACAATGATTCGAATGGAAAAACGATTGAAGATTGTGACTCAGGCGATTCCCTTGCTTCTTCATACTTAGATGATCGGCAGGTAGATGACTCGACAAAAGTAGACTAGTAGAGGCAATGTACAGATCCCATACCCATGTGAGTCCCTCACATGCAGAGGATCTCCATGAGCATTTATACGCTATGGTTTACATGTTCAGTAGTGTGAGAAGTTCTGTCTAGAGAGTCTACACTTGGCATGGTGCTGCTTCGCCACTCGCGCAGGACTGCAACCACAAAGCCTTCAGGGCATACGCCACGCCCAACATTACGGCGATCTCATCCATCTCCGGCAATGAGGGAGATCCTTGGAGAAGAGTTGGAAGCAAGGGACCGACCAACTGTATGGAAGAGACTCGAAGAGACCAGGGTTTTGTGGATGAAATCGAGTGCAGAGCTGAAGCTGGCAGTTGCAGGTTTTCCTTTTGTGAGACGAACCAACCAGAATATTGCCCTGCACGCCACGTTGCCGTTGATGGTGTCTCATCTGAGGACATGATCACCTTCACTGTGAGCATGCCCAGTGGCTACATCGATGCAGTGAGTGCCGGACCTCAGTTGACGTGTCGAAGTAGCTTCTATATCCCGAAAAGCAAACAAATGGTCCACATGTAGAGAGATAGACAATGATAGAAATAGTGAGCAAAGCTCTTGTTCTTCATCAGCAACCTCTTGGTGCGTTATCTCTCGGTTATATATTGAAGAGCCGGCTTTCGACCTGCTTGGGGCCTCTTTGTTAGAACATGGTGCTGCCTCTGAGTGGGTGTGTGAATTTTTTCGTGGCGGAACGGAACGAAAGCCCAGGAGGGACCTGTTGAGGGCATTCTGGCGGCTCCTGCTTGGATACGTCCTCTTGAGATCATGGCTGAAAGTCGAGTAACTTGGGGAGTTGGGAAGCCTCATTCGCCGAACGTAGATGATGCTCCGCCCTGGGTTTTCTCTGTGTCCAAAAGCCAAACTCCTCCCCCTTCTGGCGCTTGGATGAGGCAACGCGGTGGTGAGTGTGCACTTCGGCACACACGTCGGGTCAGCTCAGATGGTCCTGGGTGGTTTTTCACCAGCGTTGTCAGCTGTCCGCTTTTCAGAAGGACGGAGGATGAACTGATGCAACGTCGATCCACCTGGTCCTTCGGAGTCCTTCTCAGTCTCCAAGTGCATGATTTCATCTGATTTGGGGGGCATGCCCCGCCCCATGCCGCCGTTCGGCAGTTCGGCATGCCCTCGTCAAGGTTTGCCCCCACAACGTCACGGCCAAGACGGGTGATGACTTGACGGCGCGCCGGGTGATGACGGTCGTTGCCGGTCGCAGTGCTGGGTCGTTGCCGGTCGCAGTGGTAAGGGGGCGGAAGAAGGCTGAAAGGCCTCTGGGTCGAAGGGGGTGGGGTTAGTTGGCTAGAAACTGAGCATGGGACCTGCAGTTTCTATAGAGATCAACAAGTATGCTTTGGGGTGGTCCTCTGTAGCTGGGCTGACAGACATGCACGGCTCGAGTGGGAGTAGACGAAAAGAATGCAGGATGAATCTGCCTCGTGCCAGATGAATGAGTAGTCTCTCTTGTGTTGAGAAAGTTCTTTGACCTCCCTAAAACACAAAGATTCCCAAACCGATGAAACCGGCGCCTCCAGAATATTTGAAAAGCATCTTTTGCCACGGGAAACCCACGAAACCAGCTCGTTTGGGCGCCAGATTGCATGCACGGTGCCTGCCTTTGAAGCCTCCACAGTGATGATCAAGGTGCGGAAAAGTCGGGATGGAGGGCATCGTCTCCTCCTCCACGGCTTTTTGGAGTTGTAGGCATCCAGAAAGCTCTATTTTGCTTGTTGTTCAAAACACGTTGCTCATACGGATGTAAGTCAAGGCGAGGGTTTTATCATTTCTGACTTCGGGCTTAATTGGGTTAGGGAACCATCATGTAGCCAACTTGGAGGATTTTGTTGAACATTGCTCCACAACAATGGGCTAAGTTGATTCCATCTCGTCACGTGTGGTTTTTGATAGGATTCTATGGGTCCCGAGAAGGTGCGAAAGACTTGGGGAGTGGTTCAAAAGTACCATGAGGGTGTTGCGTTCCAGCTACCCCCCTCACCACACCCTGCCCCTCACCTCCTTGCCTGGGTCCTCTCCAGACTTGGGAGCACATTCCCCGGGTTCCTTCCCAAGTTCAGTGTGGAGTAGTGGCCCGCCTGTCCGCCTGAGTGTTGCGCCCAGGGACTTGAACCTATATCCGGCGCGGCAGGGAAGAGTTTCACCAAAGAAGAGACTTGGGACAAACTAACTAGCCAATAAAAAATGCTAGGAACCCCCCCAACCATCCACCACCCCAACCAAACCATCGGGTAGGCACTGTGAAGTGTCGGACCATCAGGTCCGAATTCTACCTCTCGGCTATGCTCGTGCCGGAGCTGGACTGGACCGCTTCACGTTGGGGAAACCCGAGAGACGACTGGGAGACCAGCAAGGCGATGGCTTGGAGGTTTGCATGGCTATGGATACGAGTCACTATGACTGCCAAACGCTGGTGAGATGGTGCTCACGTTTTAAGAAGATCAACAGGACAGAGGGTTGCATTCACAATTCTGAAGGGTTTGAGTCTGTTCCAAGCCTTGTGCAGTGTGTGCAGTGTTGTGTCAGCCTAGCATCCACTCGCCAGCTTCTCAAAAGTCAGCAGCGCTGCTGGCTTTCAGGACAAGAGTCTGCATAGGGCGACACTTTGTCAGGCTGTGACACTGGAGTAGGAGCAATGAAGGCTTACCACCCATGTTTGCATGCGGCATAGGCGGGCCAAGATTACTCAAGAAGCCGCAGATGACCGAAAGCCATGCCGAAGCGCTGCTGTCGCCCCATGCCAAATCGGTGCCAAGAGGGCAGTGGACCTTCGCGCTCTATGCGACAATTATGGCTTTAGGTACCCCTGCATCGGAGTGGGCATTTGACTAATGGACGGAACTATTGAAAGGGTGTTGCTTTAAAGTGACAAGTGACAAGTGGATTTACACCACATTACCTTTGCGGCCACATTCATTGTGATGCTTGTCATGTTCCAAAGTACTTGCGGTTGACTCTGTTTGCATATTGTTTGCTTTTTCATGCTTTGGAAGTGGCCTAGGCTCTTGACGGCACAAAAAACTTCGCTGGTGTTATGTGCTATGTCAACCTGGTTGGATGAAATCGGATAAACTCCTGCACACAATCCAGATCCAAGGTCTGGAGGATTTGTCGTATCTATGATTGTTTATACGGTTTCAAAGGTACAGCTGGCTATTCTCTGGATGTTTAGGTTCAGTGATGTTCAGATGTTCAGTGGTGTTTGTGTTTAAATACATGGACACCTTCCCATGCAGCAGAAACCGGGAAAGTGGAGATGTGGTGTCCATCACGTCCTCTCTCGTCTGCCGTTACCGAGGCATTTGCTATGCGATGTTGGGGCCGACGCTGTTAGGCTCGGCCGAGATGGGAGACCCAGAGAGATCCAGAGGTGTTCTGAAAATGTGCCCGGTGTGCCCCGTTGCAAGATGTACTCTTGGAGGGCATTGTTATATAAGCTCAGGTTCTGTACAGACACGAAGTACATTTGGAAAAGGGATCATGTCCGTTTATGCCCTCTCAATCCCAGGAAGGAGCGTTTCAGTTGCGCATCTGCCAGATCTCACCGAGCGTCTCCAGTGCTCTGGGACCATGGCGTCGTTGCTCTTCTCGGCAAGGGCAGGCACGGAGGGCGCTGAGGCTGCTGTGGTTTGTGTCGATCTCTTGAAAACCAACGATTCGCCTCAAACATGTCCTTTAGAACTTCCTTTGCCATCGAAGTCAAGGAGAGGAGCACTGTCAGTTTGGAGAGCAGCGGTTGTCTGATGACTGTTGGGGCCATCTGCTTTGTCGATGACCAGAGCTGTTCAATTAAGCTGTCCGCGAAGAAGCAACGTTGTATCTGTTGTCCAATCTCATGCATTCAGTCTAGCTCTGGGCCTGCAGAAGATGCGAAGGGATCAGAAGGGCGGAAACCTTGCAAAGACATGAGGCAAGCACATCTCCTCTAGCGCAAGTGGTCTTTTTCTTCGGATCTCGAAGTCCCACTCCCAGCCTCGCGGGCCTCGCGGCTGGCAGGCGGCTATCTTTTGGGATCCACTGTGGGTGGACCGATGGTGGACAGGCGGAACGGACGTGGGACCGGGATGGTGTTCGTCTGGACCGACGCGGAGTTGTTGGTGTTGAAAAGGTCCGGAACCTTCGCGGAGTTCTCCATGTTCAGTGGAGGTCTATTATGCCGTAACTGCCCGATGGCCCAGTAAAGTCTGATGTACCTCAGATGCTTTTGTTCATGTTCCACCATGTTCCACTCAAAGCCGTCCCTTCTGCCGAAGTCGACCAATCCAGGTCTCCGAATCCGGCACTGCTGCTCCTTTGGGGCACTGTGGGCAGTGCGATCGGCGCGTTTTGCGTCACTTGGACCGCCAAGTGGTTGGGTCGTTTTGTGGGGGCAAGGTTTTCTTCCTGCTGAAGGGCTAGAAGTGAGGTTTTGGGCGGGGTCCCTGCTTGTGGGACCCTGCATTTGTAATCAGCATTACTACCCCTGTCAGGTTGCCCCATTTTTTTGTGGAAGGTACTTCATGATCAAAGTGTCAGATTTGTGATACAATGAAGGCAATCCTTTTGAGTCTTCGAAAGGGATAACTGTCGGACTATCGGGAGGATGACCATGTCGGCTTGGTGACATCACCACCTACCTCACTTCCGGAAAGCCCAAGCGAACCACACACCTTTCGAGCCCTGCCTCCATAGGGCTCCCTCAGTCGGTCAGTCCGTCAGTCAGTCAGTCAGGCAGGCAGGCAGGCAGGCAGACAGACAGCTGTATTTTGCAGGTGCCATTCTTGCGCCATTTGCCCATAGCCTACATCTCTCAGTCCTTGCAGGGCCTCAGCATGGGCTTGTGCCTCGGCGTGGTATTTCCGAGAGGTATATATTTCCGAATCCGAACAGACTGTTCTTGTGCTGTTTGAATGTTTGGAAGAAAAGATAAAGACGAGGCATAAGGCTTTAAGGGCAACACTGAAGAGTTAGTGATGCAACTTTTCTATGCAGCAGTGCAGTAGGCTATCTACGGCTTCAGAATATAAGCTCCTTAAGGGGGCGGAGTTTGTTTATGTGATTAATGTGTGCCTTTTGCCCACTTTCCGCTAACCGGTGTGGACAGCAAATCAGAGGATGACGGGCTTTCGGAATGATGAGATGAGTCCTGCGGGATTCAGTGTTCCTTTTCTCCCCTGCGAAGAGCGGAACGAAGGTTCCGCAAAGTGTTGGTTGGTGCCACCTGGCACACCCAGTGTTTAGACGTCACAGACGTCACAGAATGCAAAACGTCGTGTCGTGGGATCTCCTGCTGTGCTTTCTCCTGCTGTGCTTCGTTTGTGCTTTTACCGGTTGGTTTGGGTCGTACCCAACTATAGGGGCCATGGCGATTGGAGTTTGGTTGTTTTTGGCTCCCGGAAGTGCCCCCTAAAAAGTTGATCAACGTGGACTAGCAGGCATGGCAACCGACCACCGGGCATTGTTTGCCCCAGCTACGCGCCTTGGAAACCTGCATTTGCCATACATCTAGGCCCCTTATGAACATCTGTTACCCATGCCACCCCAAAAGAAGTGATCATCCACTCAGTGATCATCCATTTGCAAATCAACTCAGATCAGAAGTCTTCCTCTACGCGAAGTCTTTTCGCCTTCGCCGACACCTTTTCGCTCGCTCGTTCGCCGGCCGTCCAGGCTTGACACGGGCGGGAACGTGTTGATGCTCACGGTCTGGCGCGGGAGCACGCACGTGAATGGTGCCGTTCATGGTGAGGAGACCTAGATGATGGAACGGAGGTCCTTTCTCATCCGTTCTCGTGGGCGTGGGCTTTTCTCCTCATGAGAGAGAACACGTAAAGAAGTGAAGTGCAGAAAGAATGAGGTCCTAAATGCGAAGGCGCAGATGTTTGATATGGTAAACTGTTTGTCGAGCTGCAAAGTACTAGAAAATGTTTGACAACGTAGGAATGAGGGGCTTGGCACAACATGAGGCATCCCTGGTGCCAAGTTGTGTGTGTGTGTAAGTGTGTGTGTGTGTGTGTTGTGCTTCACTTGTTTGGAACAGCTGAAGTCAGTATTTGAAGTCACCAGCTGCGAAATACCCGCAAACACCTGAGCTTTGGGCCGGCGAACCGAAGACCAAGTCAGTGACTTCGAGTGTTTCGGAGACCTGAGACGGCTGTCTCCGTGGTGGTCGCCGTCTCAGGTTTTCACTTCCTCTTTGGACTTGGGGCGTTTATCGCCCCGTTGTGCGTGAGCTTTGTGCTGCGACATGATGCTGATGCGGTCCAGGCGCCAGGGGTGCGCCTCCCGTCTCCTTCTCGTGCAGCTGCGAAGACCTGTTCGCCGTTCTCGTCCACGTTCGCCGTTCTCACAGGAGCTTTGGTGTTTGACAGGTTTCATGGGTCTCAGTACGCCATGCGGCAAACACACTGGTTCACTCCTAACAAGAGTTCGAGGGCTGAAGTCAAAGGAAAGGTGCATGGGTTCCTCTCAGTGGTGGGGGTATGCAGGGTTGTTGGAAGCATTTGGATTCAGGCAATTGCCAGCGCAGCGTTGTGGTGCAGGCTTGGTTTGTCCCAGTGGCCACCTACGCTCCAGCCTGCGTCGCTTTATTGCTTCTAAGCTTTCAACCGCAGCCTAAAACGGCTGCCGAGGATTCCGAGGCGCGGCGGATTGCCACGACAAGACGACGACGAGCAGTGACTAGCACGGCACGAAAGACGGAGCACGACGTTCGCTATTGGCACCTAAGGAGCTCAGAACACGATCCAGTTTGCATGCAAGGGACCGTTGAACATATGACAGTAGATAATACTAGATGACAGTGGATGATAGTAGATGATGGAAGAGGAACATGGTTGATGACAGTAGGTGATGGTAGATTATGGTAGAGGAAAGAAGATGATAGTAGATGACAGATGATGACAACAGATGATAGTAGATTATTAGTAGATATGACAGTAGATGATAATAGATGAGAGTCGATGACAGCAGATGATAGTAGATGTGGATGACGGTAGAGGACAGTAGTGATCATAGATGATGCTAGATGACAGTAGATGATAGTATATGTGAGTAGATTATGGTAGATGATAGTAGATCACAGTAGATGAGAGTCAATGACAGTACATAGATGATGGTAACTGATAGTGGATGATACGAGATGATGGTAGATCCGGAAAAAAAGTGTATATATATATAAACATGTCAATGGAGATCTTTCTAGTCCATTGATGGCCAGAAAAATACATTCGAAGAGTATCATAGCAACACCATTGGTAGAACACACTGCTGGAACACCCCAGGTAAAACACCCCTGGTAAGGAAACATACATCAGGTACCCCTGTTCGTAGGCTAC